AAACAACGAACTTTGGGGCGGATAGAGTGAGTCGATTTACGCCAACACTATCCTTAACATGTGGTGTTTTTTTTGTCTTTCAGATACACCTGGACCTACCATTCTGTGTTTGTCTGTCTCTCCTTCCTGTCCTCTCAACCAGCTGGTCAAAGCAGATGGCCGCTTGTCTTGAGCCTGGTTCTGCTGGAGGTTTCTTCCTTTTAAAAGGGAGTTTTTCCTTTCCACTGTTGCCACTGTGCTTGCTCAGGATGGGAGACTGCAACGAAGCCAAGATTCAACTTGTCTGCTGGATTCCTTAGATAGAGAACTTTACTAATTGGCTTTTATGTATGTGAATGTTCCTGTAAAGTGCCCTGAGACAACTTTGTTGTGATTTGGTGCTATATAAATAAACTGAATTGAATTGAATGAGAAAATGATGAAATGCTCATATTGTTCCACTAGGTGGTGAGAACATCCACATTCACACCATATTTACTGGGAAAGAACCTTCTTAGCTTGACTAAAGATTTTCACAAACTTTTTTACATTTCTGTTCACAGTTTTCTCTCATTAAATAATTTTTAAGCATACAATCAATGTTTATTAGGAGCAGAAACAGGACAAAGCAAGAAAATAAAAAATAAAAGAAAATAGAGAAATGGGTCCGTTGTTTTTGTTTGAGGACACACAAAGCGATAGTGGGAATGCAGGCTGCCATTGTTTCTATAAACAGGTCTGAAAATCAAGCCCACATGGATTCACAAAAAGGTGTGTGTGTGTGTGTGTGTGTGTGTGTGTGTGTGTGTGTGTGTGTGTCCTTGTTTATGCTACTTTGTGAGGCCCATTTCTCCAACTTATACTACATTGTGGGGACCAACTGCTCCTTATGGGGCCCAAAGCCCGGGCCCCATAAGAAGAAGTCCCGTTGGTGGGTTAGGGGCTAGGTTTAGGACTAAGGTGTGAATTGAGGATGTGTTAGGTTTAGGGTTAGGTATGTACTGGTAATGGTTAGGTTATGGATAAAGGTCATGGTTAGGCTATAGAAATGAATGGAAGTCAATGCAAAGGCCCCACAAAGATAGCAAAACAAACCTGTGTGTGTGTGTGTGTGTGTGTGTGTGTCCTTGTTTATGCTACTTTATGAGGCCCATTTCTCCAACTTATACTACATTGTGAGGACCAACTGCTCCTTATGGGGCCCAAAGCCCGGGCCCCATAAGAAGAAGTCCCGTTGGTGGGTTACGGGCTAGGTTTAGGACTAAGGTGTGAATTGAGAATGTGTTAGGTTTAGGGTTAGGTATGTACTGGTAATGGTTAGGTTATGGATAAAGGTCATGGTTAGGCTATAGAAATGAATGAAAAATGAATGGAAGTCAATGCAAAGGCCCCACAAAGATAGCAAAACAAACATGTGTGTGCGTGTGTGTGTGTGTGTGTGTGTGTGTGCGTGCATGTGTGTATGTTTAATGTCTTTGGAATTTTTTTAGAAATCTCAATTTTTTTCTCAAAACTTAATTTTGTCTGTAGACAAGATGTTCAAGTGCAGCAGCACATTTATTGTAGAATGGAATTAAAATGTTACAAAAATATCTGAGGTCATGTAGAACGGTGCTAAGAATCACAGCTTTGTTTGTTTACTTCAATTTGGTCCCTTTTTATTTCTGATTTGAAGTTAACAGTAAATGGTTTCACAGCACACGCTTAGCACAACTCTGTAGTCAAGTTTTCTGTCAAATTTTGAAACAACGCGTGTTTTCAAAGCTGTAGTTTGTCTAAAGTGTTTTGTGGAGTTGCCATTTTATGAAAAGACCAAAAGTGGAAACCAGAAACATTTGAGAGATGTCAAAGAGAGAATCTCACATACCCAACACACATAAGACTTGATCTATAGCACCTTTTTGTTTTTGCCCAACGTCGATATCTCTTTATTAATTCTCTTTTACTACATATATACAGTATATACGTTGAAGTGATGACATGTAGGACAACATCTTCTCAGTGTCAGATGCACTACAAGCATTTCTTGTATATTTTATGGGTTTCATTGACCTCAATCATTTGTTTAAAAAATGATACTTGTCCAGGGTGTTCCCAGCCTCTTGCACAGTGATAGCTGAACGTGGGCACCAGTGACCCCCGTGGTCCAGAAATGAAGAAGCGAGTAAAGATGGTGGATATCTTTACCTCAGAGTTCAAGACAAACAAACGTGTTTGTTTTTCATACAAGGAATTTGTTTTGTACAATAACTGAGAAAATTAATGACTTCATTGCATAAATCATTTTCTTTTCTTCTTTTTTTTTTACATTTTTCTTTGCAAAAACCTATTTATAAGAACAGTAAAAATGCAATATTTTCATAATTTGTTGGTGCCATTTTCATTCCAACCAGATAAAGAAAATCTAGGAGGGTCCAACTTTTGAAACTTCAGTGACTGATTGAGACGTTGTTGACTCCTCTTCATCGCCTCCGCTCATCCCCAGCATCTTCCTCATACACGAACGGAACTGAAAGAGACGAGAAACAGAAGCAGTCACACGGTTATTTGATTACCACTCTTTCGAGAGTTAGAATGATCACAGTATGAATTGAGGAGATTGTTTATTCAGCATTATTTTTAAAAAATTTGCACATCATGCATTTTGATACACAAACAATAAAACAGATCAAAATAGATTTGTTTGTCTATATTTTAGGACAAATGGAAAAACTAATAATTTGTTAAACCTAATTGCATGTGACAACTCTAGCCATTTGTTGCATTCTGAAGACCACCCGTAGAGGGCAGCAGTGGACGTGTCATTGGTAATTGAACAAATAAAATAATCTGCATTCTTAGTCACTTTTTAGTTAATTGGACTTTTTTTTTTAACAAGGATTGTTTTGACAAGAATGTCCTGGCACTCTTAAACCATAGCACGACTTCAACAGTGTTACTGTCCTCCCATTTAAAACATTTAAAATCTTTGCATCGACCAACCTGTTTGTTAAGAAGGACATAAATGATAGGATTGTAGACCGTGGAGGCTTTAGAGAAGCAGGATGGTATGGTTGCAAGTCTTAGGTCAAATGTTTGGCCACGGTTGTTGACAATCCAGAGAGCAAAGGATGTATATGGCACATAGCACACCAGAAAGCCCAGCACCATGACGATCACCATCCTTGTGACCTCTCTTTCTGCCTTTTGGGTGGAGGCAGACTCAGCCTGGGCCTTTGCTGCCTGTTGACACAAATTTACTGACAGAATTAATATTAGTGGCACATAAAGCAAAGTGAGATCAGACAGTGCTTCAAATATTTTGATTAAGTCGCTTATCTTGAACAAAAACCGTGGTAAGTCGTGACACATTTCCTACCGATTTCAATGTGAACAGCAGCTGTGAGTAGCAGAAAACGATGCAGGAGAAAGGGACAGCAAAGCAGAAGCAGAACAGGAACAACACAAAAGACTCAGTGTTGAACTTGGTGCCTGTTGTGTACCAGTCTGGTCCACAGGAACACTGCAAGCCCTCTGGGATATACCTGGCAAGACCAATAGTCAATAATTATTTATAATAAAACTGATTGTTTTAGTTTAAAAAATTATTTTTATTTGGTGTTCATGTGCTCACCGACTCCAGCCGACCAGAGGAGGAACTGCAGCACATGAAGCAAAGAACCAAGTCAATGCACAGAAGAATAAAGCATGCTCTGATTTGAAGGCAAAGTTGCCAAGTGGCTTGCAGATAACCAGCCATCTTTCAAATGCAATCACGGCAAGAGACCAAAGGCTCACCATACCTGAGAAAAAAGCAATAAGAATAAATGTAATTACATGTAATTTACTGACAATATATGTTAGACTTAAGCTGATTTCATTCAGTATAAACCTTTTCCTTGTCAATATGTTACACAGTAAAGTTTATCAATGTCAATGCAAACCTTACCGCCAATAGTTGCAGTAAACCCTTCAATCTTGCACCCCAGTGGGCCAAGAGCCATATATCTGAAGGCAAAACAGTAGAAGCAGGTGAAAGAGCCAGCGGAAGAAACAACGAGATTTGCTATAGCCATGTTGACCAGGATGTAGTTCAGGTGAGAGCGCAGCTTCTTGTATTGAGCAGTACATGCTATAGTGAGGATGTTGATGGCAGTTCCAGCCACAAACAAGAAGAACATGAAGAATGACAGGGAATAAAAAAGTGCCTTGTTTCCTAAATGGTCCTGTGGGACCAAGTACGGGCTGAGGCTTGTGATATTGTTGGTATCCAGAGGGATAGGGATCCAGAAGTCATCTGGGAAGTCCTCAATACGATTTCCCCTCATTTTTACTCTGGTGGGTGCCAAATAAAATACTGTTTTGTTTTGAAATGAATTAAATTATATAAATGAAGAATGAATAAAGTGAATCTAATTTTAAACAGCAGTGAGAGACTTCATGTTTTTCCTGCCTTCTGATAGAGGTGTGCCTGCCTCTGTGAACTGCATTTATAGGACCTTTAAACATTACTCTGGCTCAACTTAATTGGCTCAAGGACAGGATTTAAAGCTTTACATCAATTCCCTTGTCAACTTACACCACCTTTTAGCTAATGCTGAGATTAGTGTCTTAGTACCAGAGCTGGACAGCATCTTCTCACTACTTACCAATTTCTGAGCCCAGAGAAGAACCTAATCTGTTCACTGGAGGCAAACAGATTAAATAGTTCTCCTGCACGCATTACCCGATTACTATTTGCTTTATTTCTTCTCTCTCAGCATGATGTTTTTGTTAATAATCAAGAACCTGACTCCTTGTTTCTTTAATGTTATTTTATTCCATCAAGGATAAATGGAAGTGTGAAAATGAAGAGGTTTGATGAAGTTTGTGTGTTCCAGATGTAGTGAACTAAGCCTCAATTACAATTAAGTAAACAATTAAGCTGTGTTATTGCTTCAATCAGAATAATCACGTGTACAATGTTTGATGTTAAACTTTGATTCTGTTAATAAATGACCGCATTCATTTTGATGGGTCAAAGAAAATTAACGTCTCACGTCACCGATCTCTGTCACATATCTGTCAAGTAGCTCGAAAAAGAGAGAACCCGTTTAAATTAAGTATAATATCAGGTACTTGAACTAGTCCAGATATTATAACGTGTAGTGTAGCTCCGAAGCTAAACGAAGCTAACCGACCTATCTCACTACACAGATAAAGATGTGACTTTCAACAACTATCCATCCATTCATTCGACCTTTATTTAGACTGATAAATCACATTGAGTCTAGAAGACTCATTTATAAGTGAGATCTGTTTAGACAGACAAAAAAGTAATGAAACTGGACACATGTAGGAATTGGAGGCAAAACAAATCCTATCAGACTTTTTCTTCTTGGCTGAGAAGTCCAAATATTAAAAAAGCACCTTGCACAAACAAACACATAGTGACGTAGACAATCTGCAGAGGGGGGAGACGACAAGAGCGGTGAGCAATGTCCATGGACGCTCTCAAGGTCATTGTAAGAGTTCTGATAAGGATGGAATAATCAACCAGTTCCCTCCGGTGAGATCCGTAAACATTCATTCATTCATTCAACCTTTACTTATTCTCGAGGGGATGTCGGAGAATGGCCAAGGACAACGCCTACGGGAATCCAAGAGTCTTGAAATGATGACACAATGTTTATTCAGCTGGTTTCCTCTGGTTGATCAGTTGTAAATTTCTCGATGGGAGGGGGAGAGGGGGTGAGCGTCAGATCACATGGTCTCCAGGCGAATTCAGATAAGATGGCCTACAAGGCCAGCCAAGGGAGCTAAATTCAGATAAACGCACAGATGTTTTGGGGACAGGCAGAACTTAATGACATCTACCTTGAGTCTGTGTTGGTCCTCTCGGTTCCGAAATGTCCAAATTACGTGGCCACACCGATGGAACGTGACTGAGTAAAATCCCAGAAATTTGATCCATTCTGCCCAAAGCATTTGAGTCTAGGTACTTGAGACATGAACCAAGCCATCATAAGGCAAGCAGCATGATCGGGTCCCAATTTGCTGCTGACAACTTCCTTGATTGTAGATAAACCAGCAACCAGCCGAATCCAAAAAGCTGAAACCAGTTATCATAAATCCAATTAAATATGCGTCCTTAAAATCCACAAATGGCAGCAGAGATAGACACGTCTTCAAGTCGATGAGATATCCAGCTGCGTGCATGCCAACAGGGCAAATTGGCTCACCTAAAGCCTGTCTTCTCTTCGAAGAAATGTTATCAATTGTGTTGAGGGACCAACTGATCAAATCAAGTCCATAGCTAAGGTTCAGAAGATATGCAAGAGAGGCTCACAAGCAGTTTCACAGACAGACAGAGCAGCAAAGCAAAGCGGAGAGGGAGAGGAGGAGAAAAGCGTCTGACCTCGGCAAGAGCAAGTGGTCGTCTTTACTTGCTTCTTCCTTTTCGTGTTGCAGGGGTCACTGGTGCCCATGTCCAGCTAACACTGTGCGAGATGCAGTGGACACCCTGGACAGGTCTCCAGTCCATCACAGGGACACATAGAGACAAGATGGATACAGATAGATAGATAGATAGATAGATAGATAGATAGATAGATAGATAGATAGATAGAT